GCAAGAGCAGCAAAGGGACAAAATGATGAAAGTACTGAGGAAACTGATGGGTCAGGGAGCAGCAGGTAGAGCTGCTACTCCCTGAAGTACTTACAAGATTTGTGCTTCAGCATATACATCAGGCATTTATGTGAGACAGTTGTAGTCTTCCCAGTGATGCCTAAATTAGAACTGTACTGCTCCTATAAAAAGGATTCTTTCTGTATCACATATGCACAGCTACTAATTACCATCCTTGCCCATTCATTTCCCTACTGTCCTATTCCTGCAGGCTGTCATCTGGATTTACTTGGCTGCTTTGGGTGTATGCTTTCTTGAGTGGCCACCCCTGGCCTTTGCATTTCTGCAGATGTTGCAGTTTAGAGAGGTGCAAGATCCAGTCGTGCACAAATGGTATTTAATTTGGGAGTAGGAATATGGCATGCAGAGTCACTCGGGTAGGATGGGAAAATAAAATTTACATTTGTGTGTTGAAGGTAAGCTTGACATGCCTTTCTGGCCAGACATGTCTTTCTGGCCTCATATGTCCCGGATTTATGTTTCTCAATATCACAGACATAACCCCAGGTACTCTGTGTACCACTCTTTTCTTCTCTAACTTGCCGAATTTATGTAGGATGTCCATCTGCTATCCTCTGTTCAGACCTGAGAAGAGAGGGCATTAAAATCCCTCTTCACCAGCCAGTAAATGCCTGTTGTTGCCTTGTTGTTGGAGCTGGAAGGTAGCTTTGTTCAGACACCTGCAGTTCTCCATGGCTCATTAACCAGCACAGAACTCCTGTATGGCCATTGCCCTCTGCTTAGTCCCCTGAGGCGAGTGATAGACACAAACCTCAAAGGAATGAGAAATGGAATCATTTTTGTTTGAAGAAAATGCAGAAATTTACCATGTTGTGCCTTTGTCTTGCAATGCTGCATGCTGGAAGGAGAACACGTGAAGTGTTGGGTGAGTGTCTGCCTGTCTGCTCTGAGCTCCAGAAAAGCCATGGGAATGGCTACGTGAAACTCACAACTCAACAGCCACCATGCTCAGGAGGTGGGGATGGGGAATGGCCGGTACCACAGGCATTTCCTTTCCTCCAAGTCTCCTGACAAGACCCGGATGAATAGCTGAATTAATTTTTGGTCCGCTTTTTTTATTCTGGAGGCTAAATTTTGGGCCATCATAAAGCATTTTGTGAGATCCTGTGCTCCAGCCCTTCCTTCTGTAAACAATGGTTGCTTCTTTTATGTTTAGGTTATTAAATCCATATTGGTTTTTTACCTTTAATGAAAAAATGCCATTTTACAAGAGAAAATTGAGTGTCTCTTTGGAAAATGCCTAAATTAAATGCTTCAGTGTTTCCAAAAAATTATTCCCATGCTCTTTCAGAGTCATTCACAAATGTGTTCCTAACTCACATGTATCTTTCATCCTTCCAGAACTCAGGTTTTCTGTGAGTGTCCTTGTTGGGAGCTGGAGGAATGGGTGCGAGGCTGCTGCAGACCTGCAGCGTCCCTGCTCCACTGGGCACAGGCGTCCCGGGCTGAAGCACTATCTGTCAGCTGGCTGAGGAGCCAGGGAAACTGGTCACCTTCTGGTGTGCCCGCCGTGTTCCAGAGCAAAGCTTTTTAACTTTGCTCCTTGAAAGGTCAGAGCCAAGGGAAGGGCACTGCAGTGCCTTCACGTATCAGGGCTTTGCAAATACCTGATAAGACAAACTGGAAATGAGAGTAGAAGAGGCTGCAGCTTTTGCCATAGTCCACTGGGCTAGATTTTAGCTCTGCTTCTTCACGAGCTGTTCAAGGAACAGGCTGGGAAGATGGCCTCTCGTGACTATAAAGTACACCGGGGCTGTAGTGAATTAGAGGTAGCTCTAGGCAGCGTGTTCAGCCTCTCCTCTGGTCTCCTCCTCCTTATAGTAACCTAATGAAGATTTCCACTGCCTCCCAAAAATGTATAATCAAATAAAAATACCTCAGAGAGCTCAGCCCAGGAGGCAGAAGGGATGTGATTCCCTAGTTAATAGTTGTTCTGAGTGCCTTCAAATTATGCTGCTTTCTGTCCCAGAGCCGAGACTGAAGATGCGAGTACCCTCTCTCAGGTTCACATGGCTGTACTGCAGTCACAGGCCTGCTCTCAAATTGCAGTTTGAGGCGGGTTTTATGCAAACTCCCCTGCCTGGATCTGTTCTTGCTTATTGCCTAGAAACTGGAGGAATAAAAAAAAATGATTTAACTGATTAAAGAAAACTGAGAATAATTATCCTCTGTAAAAACTGGATGTCATTGCCTGCATCTTAGGTGCTGTGTAGTCTCTCCTCTGGAGAGGTGCTGGAAACCCAGTTTTGCTGTTGCTGGGACACGCGGCAGCCTGCGAGGAGGAGGGACAAGCATGTCTGTACTGCAGGGAGAATGTTGTTGAAGGAATGCTACTGGTTTATGAGAAATGAGCCAAGGTCGGGAGGACTAGGCCTGCTGGAGGCAGTGATAAGCAGGAGCAGGGCTGGAGGGAGCTTGTGGGGCACTTATGACTTCCTTGAGCTTTGTTTTCTGATCCTTAGGTACAGATCAGAAATGAGGAGCTTCACGATGTTTTTGGTTCAGAACTTGAGATCAGTTACACTGTTTTGATGATAGTTTTATTTAACTCAAGTGAGGCTATCAAGAAGGTTGTTAGCTGGATCAATACTATATGGTGTAAATATCCTTTGAATGCTAGTATACTGGTCAATTCAAAATCTTCAGTAATAAGATAAAGGCAACTTCTGCATCATGAAGAGCATAAAATCAATGTGTAACTATAGTCACGTGTGCTCATAATGGTCTGGCACAGCTTTTATTGCATGGACTTTGGATGTATTGTTTAGGGGAAATTGTTCAGAAATGTTCCTAATGGAGATTAAGTGAGAAAGAATTCTGTGCCAGTTAAGCAGCAATATACTAGTTCGGTATTTCTGTGTTGCTGTTTTCTCACTTTCTTTTTTCTTACTTGCTTACATCATACAGACTAAATTGAGATTCTACAGTTTAACAAACTGTACAACAAACAAAATTCTACAATTTAACAAACATCTGTCAGCTTCTGCGCTGCTATGAATAAAAGCTTTAGTAACAAAGTAAGGAAATTAATGTTGTTAATAAAGTAGCCTGTTTTGGATTTTGCATAATTGCTTTAAAAGTCCCTAAAATCCAAGAGCGTATGTATTAAAGGTCAATAGCCAGATGGGGTCTTCGTGCAGTGGCAGAATACCAAAATACCTATACTTTAGTGTGTTATTATTCAGTCTCTCCCTGATGTGGCTAGATTGTTAACACATTAGGTCAATAGTTGTCTGTTCAGTTACACCTTTCTCATTTCATTCTAAATGCCTGGCATTCCAAATCATCTGTGTGTTCACAGTATAGCTATTTTTTTTTTTTTGTGGAAAAATTTCAGTATTTACTTCCCTCCCTCCAAAAAAAACCACTAAACAAAGCAAATACTAAAAGGAGTTTTTTATTCTTCAAGTGTTTTGAAGAAAAACAAAAAAATCAGCTAATGGCTGGAATAATTTGGATGTTAGTACTTTTTAAAAGAAACAATTTAATGAAAGTATGTTTTGTTCATTTTCAGATGTGATATAAAAATAAATAATAACTTTGTACAGCTGTCTATGTTCGGAAATACATTTTTTCATATCACAGGAAAGAATGAAAAATAGTAAAAGATAAGCAGAATATTAACTCAACTACACTAAAACAGTGCCAGAAGATCAAGATGACTTCAGGGGAGTTAGAATAAGTTAAAAGAAATCTTTATGATAAAAAGTTGCTTCCTCTCCACCAGGTACAGCCAGTCAGTCTGGTTTTCCCCAGGCTTCTGTCAGCAGCTGTTGTCATGTCAACAGCCGAAGGTGTGGCGTTTTTCATCTCACTTCCCTTTTTATGTGGTCCATGAGTTTTTCTTCATTAGAATGCCATGTATTGCATGTTGCGCTACTGGCAGCAGCAGGCTTAAGTGGAAAGTTTTTAAGGAATACTTCAGAGTTTACGAGTTCTGCCAGGCTGTCTGCTTTAGGATAGCAATTCCTAATTTTCAAATTTTAGTTAACTTGTGAATTTCAGGAATCTTCTGTTTTATAAAGGTGACTTTGATTTGGGCGGGCTCTTAACTGAATTCAGAAAGATTTCAGCTGAAGCAGTGACCCAGTGATGCTGCAGTGAGAGCTGTCTAGCTGAGCAAATCCTTGCCTAAACCAAGCACCCAGAAAAGAGAAAGGTGCTTGCTTTTCACAGTTTTCCAGCCGCCATCTCCTCTTCTACCTTCCCTCTCCTTGGGCCCATTGGAGTCCTCCCATTTCCCTGTCCTCTCGCACCAAGGACCTGGAGCAGCCAGATGCCACAGAACAGGTTTGAAACCTGTTGATAAATGTTACGCAGCTTGAATTACAGGAGGAGGAGAAGCATTTCTAGTGCATGTTCTTCTCACAATAGGGTGAATTAGAGCATTGACCCCTGAGGTTCACCTAGCAGGAGGAAATGTGGCATCTTTCACGTGTTTATGTCATTGGACAGTAAACTGGAGAGATGACCCTGGGAGTCAGGAAAGCCGCTTTGTCTTCCTGTGTTGTCACCTTTATTTGATATCCCCACAGGTGATTTTTTCCGTATGTAATAGAATATAGTCTGGAGTCCTTTAGGCAGTCGCACTAAACATTGCAGTAGTAAAAGCAACAAATGATCCAAGTTTGAAACCAGTGAGCTAACTGTAAAGTGTTTGATCAGTCTGGAGTGTGAAATGGCCAAATACTGGGGAGGGCTGCACCAAAGGGGACCTCCAGTCTTGGCAGGGAACAGTCCAGGAGACAGGCTTGTGTGAGCTACTTATCAGATCATGGCAGCCCATTAGCAAAGGGAGGGAATGGTCTCCCAAGGAAGGTGGAAAAAAACCCACAGTGTGCGTTAATTTTATGTATTTCTCTTACATTTGCTGTTTGTGAATCTGTAAACCTTCTGTGTTTTGTATTTTTTCAGTGTCTGTTCTATTTACTGTTAAATTATTTCTTGTCAAAGTCTACCATTTGACTTTTTGTAGCCCTGAAACCAAGGGTGTTGTTTGTTACCCTGGTACAATTTTGTAGATCTCGATAAAGCAGAAGGCCCAGTAACTTTCCAACCAGTTATATAATTTACAGCTGCAATTGATTCAGAGATGCATGAGAAGGGAACATAGGGTTCAGGTTTAGAAATCGGCTTTAAATGCTTGATTTAAAAAAGCCTGCTGTTTTTTCCAACTAGAAAATAATGGCCGACAAATATAAAATGCAAACATTTCGGCTACTTACTGAGGTTTATGGAGATCATCTTGCACAGTGCTGTAGGTGGTTTGGTCTGATTCAGTAAAACAAGCTAATGTAAAATTACAGTGACTCGGCTCCCAGGCCAAAGCTTGTCTCCTACAGACTCTGCATGTGAAGGCAGCCGATGCTCTCATGGGAACTGCAGTCCTCATCCCGACCCACTCAGGCTTGGACCTAAAAATTCCCTCTGGCATTGCCTTTGTGTCTGGTGATTGTTAGTTGCAGCCAGTGTGCCCTAGAATGGTAGGAAAAGAAACCAAGCACCCTGCTTCAGTGGTATTTTGCTTGAAGCAAGTAATTTACCTTTGTTTTCCTCCGGAATTAGAACTTATAAAGATGAGCAAAACATTGCAGGGTAATCTACCGCTATTACTAGTTTGGCTGCTGAAAACCAACAAAAAATACCTTAACATCCATCTTGTCATTAGCACTATAGGAAAGCAACTGTGTTTTCCCAGTCAAGGAGAAAGGAACAGATTAGCTGTTAGATTTGTGTTTGTGCAGTACTTCAATATTTCCAGGTTTATTGATGCATCTAAATCTTTCCGGTGAGCTGTAATGAACAGAGCTATGAGACTGAGGAATGTGTTGTATCTTGTCAGTATAGCTGGACAGAGCAAAGCTCAGCTGAATGAACAACATCTATAGCAACTAGATGCTTATGTGTACAGAGATTAAGACATTTAACCTCTTGAGAATGTAATAATATTTACCTCCTAGAGAGTTCCTGAGATTGAATGAACTTTAGAAATTACAAAAAAGGAAGAAGAGTCAAAAGAGAAAAAAACCAAACACAATATTTTCTCTTCTAAGTATCTGCAACTTTATGACATGTTTTGTTACAGAAGCTCTCAACTGGCCAGTAATACATAACTAGGCTTGAGGGTACTCTTTATTGCAGACTGTAAAATTAGAAATGGATTACAGTAGAGGCTCTTATCTATTTTCTAGCTGTATATAATTTTATAATAGATTGCCTTATGAGGTATGCAGTCATACTCTACATATGAAACGGTGTGGGATGAAAGATATGCTTTTTGAAGCTTGTATATGAATCTTGATGCGTTTAAGAGTGTTAATGGATATTTTCTGATTGTAAAGATTGTTGCCTCTGCTCATGAAAGTGGTGGTGAAACATCAACTGCATCTTTATAAGAAACAGTGTTTTCAAAGCTTTTAAATGGAGAGCAGCTCACTTTCCTATGGGTGAAGCATAACATCCTGAAGTAAACTAATCATCAGAAAATAGTGGTAATACCCTGGCTTGTTGGTATTTAACCTTTTAGAGTCATAAGGTTGCTCTCCTGGAGATATATGTGTTACAGGCACTCAGATTTAAAGCTTGTTGAGTCCAACAGCTGAACCTAAACCAGATTACCCCTTCATTATCGTTCTCTGTTGAAGCACTGCAGGCAAATATATTTCTTCCTGAGGATGTTTCAGATGGCACGATCTTGTCAAGCTCAACATGCTGTCAGTTTTTGATAGGGATTCATTGACTAATTCCCTGCATTTTCAAACCTGATCATCTCATATCTGATTCACCATATTTTTAGAAATTTGTCACATAGCTGCTACCTGTGCCTGATTGTTTTTAAATGGACACCTGCTGACCTGCTGCTCTTCTCTGCAGAACCTACACTCTGCTTTTTGAAATGCACTCATCTTTACAAAGGCTTTGGAGTTAATGTGCTGTGCAGCAAGCAAAATAGTCTTGCATTCATCCAGCTCCTCTCAGTGGACGAGTATATGGACAGTAAGTACTGTCCCTTCATCTAGTGGGAAGGGGTAGCCCTGGCAGCTGGAATATTATCGTGTCAAAACCCACCCAGTTGGTAATATGAACAGAGAAAGGCAAGAACATGGTGCTTTGATCTTCACTGTAATCAGGCCATATGTACTGCCAGCAGCATAATTGTTTTTATTTAACAAGCTCATCTGGACAGTATTACAGGACTCAACACAAGGCAGCTACAAAATCCTTGTAATTTTATCAAGCACATTAGACTAATGATGGCAATAGCCATATTTCCAGCAGTAGATCCTGCCACAGGCACATATGAATAAAACAGTGCACCTTTCCCTAAAATGATCCTGCATTTAAAGAAGTCTCTCTCAATGTAGTCAGAGCTCTTTATCTCCAGATTACTCAACAACTATGTGACTTAATAGCTAGAGAATGGTTCTGAATTATGAATGAATGCTTTGTTTAAAATCCAGCAGCTTTTTTTTTTTTTTTTTTTTCCTGTTGTATGTAGAAGCTTCTCTGGTGCACTTCACTGCTTGGACTTCACTAGAGATTTTGTAGAATGATTTTGTCTTTACAGAAATCTGCATCGTAATCTTGATAATAATTGTGAATATTAACTTCAGTCCTCACTGGGGATACGGAGTGATAGGTACAGCAGTAAGCTGAAGTAGAAAACAAGAGGGAGAAAGAACTAGGGTGTAGATTGAGAAGCTACAGGGAAGGGTAAGGCTAGGGTAATGGGAACGGGGATGGCAAGGGACCTGTCAGCTCTTCTGTTGGGAGTTCGCAAGGATTAGGAGCAAGTGAGGAAAATGAGGCTCCTGTGCTTCTCTCTGGTCCTCCCAGCATCAGGGGAAGCCATGTCTCTGCACAGGCAAGTGGCAGGGTGCCTGTCATTGTGTTCATGGCTGTGACAACTGTTAGACATCCTTCCTCCTGGCCTCCAAGCATTGGTACTGGTGAGAAAAGTGATGGGGCTGCCTGTCAAGAACGGGGCAGTTCACAGCGTCTTCAGCCACTGGAAGCATCTCTATCCCTGCTGGGTTTGTGTTTTTTTTCCATGTATCAGAGGATGTCCCACTGAGATGGGTGTGATCCTCAAATAGATTTCCTGCATTCTTAAAATCATTTCTGTGCAGTGGGTGGGTGACTTACTGTACTACTTGAAGACTTAGTATGGTCAGTTATTTCAATCTGCTAATAAAAGTATTTGTATAAATGTGAATTGATACTTTTCTCCAAAAGGCCTACTGGCATTTAAAAGCTAGCACTTCTGTATTTCAATAATACTGCTAATGTAAAGCATGAAAAAATCATGGGTCAAACCATGTAAAATTATGACTAGCTTTAAAATTAAAATTTTAGAACAGTGTATGTATCATGCTTTATGTTATATAATATCCTTGGTCACAGAGGTCTGTCCTTTGTCATCGCAGTCATCTTTGTTTTATAATCTGGTGATTTCTTTAGTAAAACTGGTCAAGCTGCCTTTCCAAAGTAGTTGGCTGCTTCTGCTCCTCATAGCCTCTTCTAGGAACGTGCTGCTTTGTTTGTGACCTGAAATACTGCAATACAAGGATTGTTAGTGGTTGTGATTGCTATCTAGGTATTCATATTTCTAGTCTTGTGCCACACTGCATCCTTGATCTCCCTAGCCCTGTAGTATGTAAGTCTTTATTCCCTTCACTAAGGTATCTGATCTTGCTGGAGGAGAGGCTGGGGCCCTCTTCTCACCACAGCAAAGTGGTGATGCTCCTCCTGTCCCCCAGGGAAGTGGCAGAATAGGAAGAAAAGCTGCTGTTTGCACAAGGTAAGGGAGGAGCTGTGGGAGCGGATGCAAAGGGGCTGCCTAGGGGAGGGGTCCCACAGGGAGGTGAGAGAGCCCAGGGGAAGAAACAGGAGAGGGGAGGGATCTCTGCTCCCACGCTCAGCCTCCCCCAGGCCCCCCTGATGCCAGGCCAGGGCTGGGGATGCCTTCGCTAAGATCTCACAGATTTCTGGCATCAGGCAGGGGAATGCTCTTCTCCGGCCATGGCCCCGGCATTAACCATGTTGCTTTGTTTACTCTAGATACACTTTATACTGCTGTTCAGTCGGCAGGGGAAATTAAGGCTTCAGAAATGGTACACGACGCTACCTGATAAAGAGAAGAAAAAGATCATTCGAGAAATTGTTCAGATTATTTTATCTCGCAATCAAAAAACAAGTAGTTTTGTTGACTGGAAAGACCTCAAGCTTGTTTACAAAAGGTGTGAGTAATTTTATGAGAACATATAATTACTATTCATATAAAGAACATGTACTAGAAGAGAAAAAATAAAGTCTCACTTTGAGAAAAACAGAGAACAAAACTCGAAATGGTAGGAGCCTGCTATTGGTGATCTAAGTGTGTACCTGGATAAATTGGCAGGATAAATTGTGGGGTGAAAATTACTTGTACGATCTGTCAAATTATAAAAATGGGAGTAACCTAATAAGTAGTAGTGTTTGAAATTCTGTTAGAAGGCTTTAGGCTTCACTGCTCCTTCTGATTCCCCAAAGTAGCCTGCTGAGATGTGCTGGGCTTTATCAGGCTCTTTGGGAGGTTGCAGTGTTCTGAGGCACTTCAAACATTTTGTGAAATTTTGTCTTTGAAATATGTGTTGTTCTGGAAAGTTTTAGTTCCCATTTCCTTTTCCAAACAAATTGCTGGTCCCCAGTTACGTGATGCTTAGCATTAACTGCCTGTTAATTCTTGTAAAGCTGTAGCAAACAAAAGTAGCCTTAAGGTATAGTACACTGTACAAATTAAGTGGCATCTCCCGTTTAGCAAAAATTGAGTTCTGTGCTATGAAGTGATGGATGTAAACATCTGACCAGATTCTGTGACAAGTTAGGCCTCCAGCTACAGCACCAGAGAGTTGAAGTCGATTGTTACTTCCATCTTGGGTTGATTTAAACATAAAGTTTTGCGTAAAGTTAGTTATGAAGATTGTTTGGTCTGAGCAGTTTCATGCTTTCTGGCCCTATGTAAAACAGTCAGTCGTTTGATAGCCAGTAGGCTTGCTGAGATGTAACTCCTTTCACTTTTATTTTTTACTTTATTTTTTAATAAAGAGTCGTGGTTCATTCTACAGTTTAATTAACCCCACTTACTGTAGTGTTATTGCAGCAGGTAAGGGAGACCTTAAAGTACTACTGATTTACTGTTTTATTAAGACCAGTGTTGGAGGTATCCCACTTTGCCAAGGGTGGAGTTTGTTTTTCTAACTAAATTAATATTTGTTTAAATTGTCTATCTTTTTAAGTGTTCTCTGGGACACTATAAGAATGAAAGAAAATCATTATGTTAGAGACCAGGCAGACATTAACTGTCATTTGCATAACTTTTAAGAGACAACAGAGCACTGAGGACCCAGCTGTTCACTGTTATGTTTTTGCCTTTGTTTTCCTAGGTATGCTAGTTTGTATTTCTGTTGTGCAATAGAAGACCAGGATAATGAGCTCCTGACACTAGAGGTCGTTCATCGATACGTAGAGCTTCTGGACAGATACTTTGGAAACGTAGGTTTCACTTTCTCCCATGAACCACATTCCTGGCTGTTTGATAAACAGTTAACTGAAGCTGTTTTGCTTTGTGTTTCCATCTGCACTACTTGCCCCACAGACTCTCTCAATTCAGAGTGAAATTCATTTTTAGAATATTTCATAGAATAGTGCTGAAACTACCATAAGATTGTTTTTCCATCCATTCTTCCCTGCCATGCTCCCTGCCCCTCCCCCCCCCCCCCAGTTAATCTTGATGTTTTTGATGTTTTGTATGTCTGTCTTGGAATAGAATTTGAGGAGAAAGCTAGAGGAGAATTACTTAAAAAAAGAACCCTGCATGACACTAATCCTCTCTCCTGACATCCTCAGATAGACTGGTTTTGTTTGTTTCATAATATTGGGTAACAAGGACATACAGAGAAGAAGAAGATAAAGTGGAGGTTTTCTAAAGAAAAGACCTGAAAAAGGTCCAAATAAGTCTTTCAGTAACTTTTTAAAGACTACAAGAGACCATCTTTTCTATGAATATTTTTTGAATTATTCCCACCACCTTAATTCATCCCTTATTTAAATCACTGTGATGTGTCTCATGTTTGTACCGCCTCAAAACGAAAAAAGGACTTGATGGCTGTAAGGTCACTAGAACAGGGAATTTGTCTTGCTCTGTGAAACTGTGCATGTATGTATGTATGTAACCCATATCACAAATGCTGTATAAGACCTATTGTAAATTAAGTAGGCTAAGGTTAGTCAGCTTTGTTCTCTGAAAACCGGTATGAATGCAGTGTATTATATAAGTGGAATATCTTTGCTGTAAGTTTAGGCTATATATGTGAAGAGAGTATGTGCAGGAGCTGCAATATTACATAATATGCAGTATCTTCACCCTGCTACCTGCCACAACAGTGCATATGTTGAATACATTTGATCATCTTCACAACTTCTGGCCCAGTAGTGCTTATAATGCTGTAGAATTGATTTAAATGTGGGGTGTCCTTTTGTTCTGGCAGGTGTGTGAGCTGGATATTATCTTTAATTTTGAAAAAGCTTATTTTATTCTTGATGAGTTTATAATTGGTGGAGAAGTACAAGAAACTTCAAAGAGGTCTGCAGTGAAAGCCATAGAAGACTCTGACATGTTGCAGGAGGTAAGGCAGAGGAATAAAAAGGGCAAACAACCTCATCTTTCTACATCTTCCTTGTTTGACAGGAGCTTAAAATACAGCTAAGCACTTCTGGTACTTAATTATCCAAATGTCTTGCATTCAGTTTCAACAGGTACAACAATGCAGTTAAGGTAATAGTTACATAAGCTTTGCATCTTGTGGAATCATCTGTGGAGGCTGTTGCTTTCTTGCAGTTTAACTGCGAGAGTTTCTCAGGTATTATATTAAGAAACAGTTTAAGACATATTTAAGATGCTTATATAATACAGGAACATAATATAAGATTATATTTTATGTATACATATGTATATATGAATACAAAAAAAATCTATTCTCTTTTCCTAGTACATTGGAAACAGATGACCTACTATTAACATTTAAAATTGGAGAGTACGTGCTGGCAAACCCCACTTTCATTCATAAATACCCATGTAGTTTTTCTGCAGGGCATAGGTCTGTCACCTTTATTCAGAGCACTGCAGGAATTCTCTTCTGTATCTTGTACCATTGAGCCAGGAATGGCAAACGCAGTTGAATGTGATGGATTTACTTCATTTTTGGCTAGGTAGTGAAGGATCCATTGTAATACCGAAGGGAAGAGCGCACTGGTAGAACTAGCTAGGGACATGCTATGTCAGTCGAACAGTTTTTCACAAGGGTCTGCCATTTGTACGTAAAACTGAACCAGCTATGTAAAAAGGCCAGCTAGACACGATGAGTTTAGCCACAATGGTGTTATGTCTTGATTTGAAGATCAAATTCTAAAATGCTGTTGAAGGTTTTTAAAGGATAATTATTTCTACATTTTAATTAGTCTGATCTGATTCCATGCAAAGCTACAGCTGTCTTCAAGGAGAACAAGAGGGTTTGTTTGAATATTATTTTACTGCTCCATAATGCATCAGTTGAAACACTTTTTTTTTTTTTTTTTTTTTTCAGACAGTGGAAGAGTACATGAACAAGCCTGCATTTTAATGTTAAAACTACCTGGAGAGAGAACTGCTGTATGCACCTGTAAAATGCACTTCCTGAAATTGCTTCCCAATGTGCCAGATCCTCAGAGAAATACCAAAAACCAGTAACTAAAGGGGTTTGTTTGTATAATGGTGAAGATGAAGGTCAGCTAATGTAGCACAGGGTTTAACAATTCTGTACTTGCATTACTCTGCATATGAGTTTCTCAGAGTTGTTATTACCCTTGATCTAGTTTCTCTTCTTCTTGCTGGACTAAACACTTGTTTTGTACCATGTATTTTAGCTACGGGTTTTGTCATCATAAAATGTTACTCTGACAGTACTTTGAAGAGGTATTTTTACTAGTTTTGGTCTACTGCTGACTGTATGACTCTACTTTTGTACAAATGTCCATTATTTTGAATGTAATGATTATTCTGCTCTAATAATAATTTTTTTCTAAAAGCCAAATTTTTGTGGGCCCTGATTTCACAAGCTTGTTTTGAAAAGATTAACCAATCTAGTATAAAAATAAATATGCTTCTCTTTGACCAGCCCTTTTCTTTTACTATTTTCCTCCTATTTTCTGCTCTAGTCTGCTAATAAGTCTACTCCAAATGCTACTAGAGCGCACTCCACACCTCCGTTTAATCTGGAAGACTGTTCTGACTCAAGGTAGGCTTCTCCCAGGTTTAATGAATCCTTTTTGCTACTGCATGTGGATGGCCTGTTTCTGTCTTTCTCCTCATTTTCCCATTCCCTTCCTAGATCCCCTGTACCTGGATAAAGCTTCAACCTTTAGAAGTGTGTAGCTTGACAGCAGGAGTTATCCTGAAGAGAATAAATTAGTCTTTGGGATTTTAGGGTGAAGATCATCTTGTATATCTTTTGGTATCCACCAACAGCCACCTTTTCCAGTAGAGTTTTCCAGTCCCAAATTCACAGACCTATTGGGATGATTAGCTTCCTAGTAGTTGAATGTGGCCCATTTTTGTGATGATTGGGCAATTTAATCAACTTTCTATAACTTTGCAAGCTGCACAAAGGGAAAGCAGGTGAAATAGTAGAGAGGAGAAGAATCAGCTGGGCTGAGCATCTTACTGTGTGTTATAAAACACTGTAGCTGTGTGTGGGGAGCCAGGTGTGTTACCTTGCCTGTCTTCCTGTCAGTGCAATTTGGACTCTATAAACTGGTTGAACTGGCTTCCTTAGAGAGATTATATCCTCCTTTAACAGAAATCAAAGCTCACAGAAATTCTCTTTATCTTAGCTTATAACTCACAGCTAGATGTTTTGTCTCTGTCAAATCAATAAATTATCCTATACAAAAAATTAGGTAAGTTATCAGACAAATAAATGATCTGAGCATTGATTTGCATTTCCCTTCAACATGTATTTTCTTGGCTTTCTGGGATGTTCAGTCAGTAATTTCCTTCAGGGATTTTTCTAATCTTTAAGTGTCCTGCATGCTGCTTCTATTTTTTTCATTGCTCCTTCCTTCACAGTTTGTCTGTATCTTCCCGGGGAGGAGTTTGGGAGGTTTTTTTGGAAGGTGGGAGCACTTTGACACAACACGACAACTTTGCTAATTGTCAGCCCACTTTTCTGCCTGTGTTATCTGGTCTGTTAGTAAAACTGTGACAAGCTGGTTCATAGCGTCATGCTGCTCTTTTTATAATTACTTTATCCATCTGTTTTCTCTGTATTAATGTCAAAGGCATACTTTCAGCATTGAAAAAATAGAGAAATTGCTGAAGGGCTTTTAATAGCTCTGAAGACATTCAATTTAATAGTAGATTAATGAAATTGTATGAGTTGTATATTATTTTCTCATGGTTTGAAATGAAGTTTTTTAAAGTAGAGTGTTTAATTGATTAAGAAGCCACTTCAGAATGTGCAAAGAGGCTCTTTCCGCTCTTTACTTTTATAAGTGACTTCTATTCAGTGAAGTCATCAGTAGTTTCATTTGCTTTTACACTTTTTTTTGAGCCATGCTGTGATTCTCTGACTCTTGTAACTGTCATGTTGCTTGAATTCTGGCGTATATCAAAGTAGGAGTTCCAAAAAGAAGATTTCTTGGTATGAATGGGGGTATCATAAGCCTGTCTTTTCAGTCATTCCAAGAACAGCTGTAGGCCTTCTTTCTCTCTCATTTCAAATGAAGAATAATTCCTTATGGAAAAAAGTAATACATTAGCTAGGGGTACTTAGGCCAGTCATATCAATATAGCATTTGAAATAAATAGCGTTGCCAAACTGATTTATCGAGTGTCAACTTGAGAAGTGTGAAAGGAATTAGTGTGGTTTCCTTGCCCTAGTGCAAAAGGATGTTGGAATATGGTGTGCCTGTTGTACCAACTGCCTTTGTGCTCCAAAGTTGGATGGAAAGTATGTGTTAAGCACTCTAAAGAACTGCTAAATTGTATTTGCTCTCTAAGAAACATCTACAGATTCCTGTTCCTTTTGCCTATAGGTGGGCTACACAAAGTCAGCAGGTGAGTGTTACTTAGTGTGACTTTTGCAAGTGTCAGTCTGTATGTATAGCATACTTCAGAACAGATTGGTTTGAAACATAAAACTTGTATTGATGCTTTTTACAGCCTTTACTGAGAAAGGGGTTACTCACCCAAGTGGTGGTATAATGGCATTCAGCTCACCCAACTCTTTCTCCAAAGGGAAAAAGCTCAGGTCACTGTGTCAAAATGCTTGTGTCTCCATCGTCGTGGAACTCCACTGCCATCAACAGGACTCTGTACAGATTAGTGCACTGTGGAGTATAGCTCATCAGAAGATCTATGATGCTCTCAGTATCTTACTACTTTGATTTTTCTTAAAGCAGGAGATACATATATCTTTGTATATATGCACAAATATCTCTGAAGCATTGCCCATTTCATTTGTGTTTGCTGCTGATGTTTGTCTTTCCACCCTGCCTATTCTAGGAAATGCTCAATGTAGAGTTTTCTGAGATTACTTTATGAAATTATTATCAGAGTATTAGAAAGCAGATTTCTTAACAGTTTGCCCAATCTCACTAATGCCTCTTGTGGTTATCTAAACTCTCACCTTGCTGATCAGCTTCAAGCACATATGTCCTAATTTGCAGAATTGCATTTACTAAAATAACCATTAATCATGGTCATGGTGCTAGCCTAGATTCCCTTCCTTGTTTTCACCAGCTGCATCTAACAAAAAGCTTGATTTTCTTGCTCACATCTCTGCCTGGAGGATTCTTACTGTGATCTTACTTCTTACCAGTTGTAGCAGGGCTGGTTCTCCATCATGTCACTATTTGCAACCCGTTAGTTGTGACATCTCTGAACATATCATGGCAATTAAAAAGAGAGAGGCAGACATTAGACTGGGATGAAAATAAGTGTAATAATGTCAAAAGGAATATTAAAAGTATGACAAATCATCATGAGTGAGAGGTAAGAGTGGCAGGATCTCACAGGATTCATGAAATCTTATCATTTCTGTTTCTTTATTCATTATGCATTTGTGAGTGTTGTGGCTTATTAAAATGTGTCAACTCTTACAAATAACTGTAGGAAAATTGACATTTAGGTACCCTCCGATCAGTCTTTGTTTAACAAAAAGCCACTGAAAGTGAATCTTCAACACCTCCTGCTAGCTGCTCCTCCAAAAAAAAACAAAACAAAACCAAAAACAAACTATGCTTTCAGAAACCCAGGTGGGAAACTTCCTGTGAAGTTTAGGTAAGATTCTGTGTCTGAATTTGTGTTGGACAGAGTAATGCTATACTCATGAAAGGATGACTTACCTTTTTTTCATTTATTTTACAGTCCTTTCAATAGATATTTTTTTTATCCTCTACTTAGCACTGTGATGCCTTGGAGCAATACAGCATGCAATAATGATACATTAGGGGTCAGGAGGGATTAGTTTATAAGGAAAGATTAGAAGAGTTAACAGTGTGAGTGAGGCTTTCAAAGATACCCAGAGACATTCAATCAACAGTCACTTCAAAATAACAAGGCTCAGTATGTTTCATAGAGAAAACTCCTACCCATGCCTGTCCATGACGTTCTACTCCACTGAAAATGTGTTTGAAAATATTTCTGTTAGCTCATGTGTGAGGGGGACATTGCTCCCACCCTGCATAAAATGACTAAACCCAAAGGTCTCAATTTTGCCGTTAATGCCTATTGTGGGATTTTTATTAACTTCATCTGATGCCTTTATGAGCATGGAGTCTGCGTCATCATCTTACATCATTATATTTTTGTTTTAGACAGCTGCCAAGAACTTGTGAGCTCAGACCAGGTAAAAGCATCCTTCTGGGGAATCTGACGACATTCCTACTGAATTCGATAACCTGTGTGCTCCTTAGCAAGACCGTAGTAGAAATAAAATATAGCTGTTGACTTAAATGTCTATTAGGATTTTTCAGGGATTTTTTTTCATCAAGATAGCTGGTCTAGGTTGTAATACCATAGTGAAAGCTTAGCGTTTATAGCAGAAATAACAGGCTGTGCTGCAAGAGACTTAATGTTTGCTGTCATGGAAACCTGTTGCCTTGGAACATGACTAATGAGACCCAGGCTAAGGGAGAGGAAGAAGTGATTCTTGAAGTTACTCTTCAGCAAACCTTAAGGAAGATCAGCAATATACATGAACATAAATCATAGTTATTTCAAGTTTTGTTGTCTTTTTATTTACTTATTTAACAGTTCTTGTAACCACATTCATACAGAGTGCTATAAAATAGTTCAAAGCCAATCCTTCGGCAATCTAGAAATGAATAGCATCTTACTTACATTCCTCTTCCTCACTACACTACAAAATTTGTCCAACTTTTGTGGAAAGGACACACTGAGAACAAACTTGTGGCTGGTATAGAATGCCCCAGTAAGCCAGGAGATAGCTAGCAGTTTAGCTGAGGATTTTTGGCTTTGATTGTAGTTGTACATCTTAAAGACAGCCCAGGTATATGAAGTGGGAAATATTTCTGTGTACATATCCATATGGAAAAATCCAGTTACCTTTGTGTATAGGTGTGGTAAGGTTGCTGCTCTCTAATGATGGAAGGAAGCTTGGTGGGGGGAACATGCAGAACGTATCTTAGTTTAGTTTACCCTTCTGTCATCTCCTTTTAAAATTCCCACTGTGAATTCTCTTCTCTTTTGGAGCTTCCTGCTCCAAACCCAGTATGTATCATTACACACCAGATTCTGCAATGGAGAATAGGGTGCTGATGTTTTTTTCCCACAAAGGTGAATTTGATGTGTCTGTTGTAAAAAACAGTGCTGAATGTAGGATCCCTAGTTACACAGGGTGACAAATTCATTATAGCTTGCTGTGGATTTCAGCTGCTCTCTGGACCAGGATCTTCTTGCATGAATAAATTGCCAGCAGCCGTATAAGTCTCCCTGCCTTGTGGAGATCACGATTCAGGGTCCTTCTGGAAGCAAACAGTGAAGAGTCAGCCTTAGCTGAGCGGAGCCGAC